TTCTTTCTTTCTTTTTTTTTTTGAGATAAAGTTTCACTAGCCAGGTGTTGTGGTAGGTGCCTGTAGTCCCAGCTACTCGGGAGGCTGAGGCAAGAGAATCACCTAAGCCCAAGAGCTGGATGGTTGCCGTGAGCTGTGTGATGCCACGTTACTCTACTAGGGGCATGTAAGACTCTATCTCTAAAAAAAAAAAGAAAAAAAAAAAGAGAGACAGAGTCTCCCTATGTTGCTCTCGGTAGATCACTGTGGCGTCACAGCTCATAGCAACCTCAAACTCTTGGGCTTAAGTAATCGTCTTGCCTCAGCCTCCCAAGTAGCTGGGACTACACGCACCCATCACAACGCCTGCCTATTTTTTGGTTATAGTTGTCATTGTTGTTTTGGCAGGCCCAGGCTGGATTTGAACCTGGCAGCTCTGGTGTATGTGGGTGGTGCCCTACCCTCTTGAGCTACAGGCAATGAGCTGGGATTCAGTTTCTTTATGGACTTGGTTAGAGGCCAGTATCCAACATGTCTTTTGGAGCTCTTTCTCTGGTCATTGGAGACTGCCAGCCTTCGGTCACTACCTCCTCAAATCTCCCCACGCAGAGGCTGGAGCTGGGGAACCCCAACTTTGCTCTTTCTGCTTGTTAGGGAAGAGCCTCTGGGATGAGAACATCCCAGTCCCTCAGGCAGAAACCTGCTTGTCCCTGATACACTGCTTTCCAGATCCTTTGTGGCTGATGGACTGCAGGTCTTACTGAGTCTTTGGCCTTTTCCATTCCCATGGGCACTGCCTCTAGACCACACAGCCACATACCTGTTTTCCCTGCTTTGTGATCATACCTTAAAAACAATCACCGTGACCCTGTTGTTACCACCATCACCAACTGAGGGCAACTATTGCCACCTCCAGCCTCTCCCCCAGTCCTCCACAAAGCCAAACAAACTTGTGGCAATCTCAATGCCAGTACCACCAGCCAACACCAGACAGAGACTACGACCAATTCTACCATCTTCCCTTAAGAACACCCACTACCATCACCACCACATCTGCCCATAATAACTGACCACCATCAACAATACTAGGTCTGTAGTCGTTAATACAGGCACATGTCATTAATCCTAGCACTCTGGGGAGCCACAGTGAGTGGATTGTCTGAACTCAGGAGTTCTAGACCAGGCTGAGCAAGAGCAAGACCCTGTCTCTAAAAATAGCTGGGTGTTGTGGTGGGTGCCTATAGTCCCAGCTACTTAGGAGGCTGAGGCAAGAGGATCGCTTGAGTCCAAGAGCTTGAGGTTGCTGTGAGCAATGATGCCACTCTACTGAGTGCAACAAAGTGAGACTCTGTCTCAAAAAAAAAAAAAAAACCAAACAAAAAACCTGAAACAAACAATACTAAGCTGGGTACAGCGGCCCAGGCAGGAGGATTGCTTAAGGTCAGGAGTTTGAGACTAGTCTGGGCAACAGAGTAAGACCCCATCTCTAAAAGAATAGAAAAATTAGCTGGGTGTGGTGGTGTGCACCTGTAGTCCCAGCTACTGGGGAGGCTGAGGCAGGAGAATCACTTGAGCCCAGGAGTTTGAGGTTGCACTGAGCTATGATCTTGCCACTGCACTCTAGCCTAGACGACAGAGCAAGATGCTATCTCACCGCCCCCATCAACAAGTACATACAGATGACTACCATTAGCAACCTCATGAAGCAGTACTCATTTACCACAGCCCATTCAAAAACCAACACTGAATTGATACCACTATTACCAATCAATATTGCCAGAAACAATTAACTACCAATAGTAAATGAACACTACTACCAATGCCACCCAATTCCAAATAACAGCAATCATCACTTGCCACTGTAACACTGGTCAGTCACCAAGTATCCCTGACATTTCCAGCTAAAAACGACCAACCATCAATGACTAGCATTAAATACCAGCTGTTACCAAAGACTATCACCAGTACCACCACCAGCCTATCCACAAGAGCATTGTCACCACCAAAGTGCAATCACTAACTGCAATGGCCACCAACCATCACAATCAGTGACACCAACAACCCAACAATAACCACTCACAGCAACCTCGCTGCAGTAACCAATAATGTCACCTCCACCCATCTCCATCACTAAATCCAGTTGCCTTGGTAATGGCAGCTACCACATATCAACTGAATGTCACCTGCTCTGTAAAGAACTTGACAAACATTGTTTTATTGAATCCTTCAACAGTCTTCCTGGAATCACCCACACCCCTCCAGGAAGATTTCAACACCCCAGACAGAGGTACTGGCCTCTTAGATGGGCTCCACTCCTCTTCTCTATCATCCTTTTAGGTGTATTGTTTCCCTCCAGACACTGTCAGCCAAGCAACCTGTTGACTAAGAACTTTGCAGGGCTTCCTTAGGGAGGAGTTGCTTTTCTCTAAAGTAGCAAATCTCTTCCTGTGTTCTTTTGATCAAAATCTGCTCATCTGAGCTCCTGAGCCTCTCTGGTTTGACTTGGAAGAGTTTCCCAGCCCAAGCTCAGAGCTTTAGCTGTGTTTTGGTGGTGAATCGCCCAGAAGGATCTTTGGCCAAGGAGACTCTATTTATCGCTGACTTCTTGCAAGTGCGAGATGTACTCTTTGATTAACACAACCTCTGCCTGTCACCCCACCTCACTGTCTGTGACCTGGTTAGCTGTCTGCTGTAACTGCCAAGAGTGTTACAATTGTCCCTGTCCCAGGCGTGCGTTCTCATTCTTGCTGACAGAATGATGAGAAATGAAAGCTGAAGTGGTCTGAGGATGCCTGAAGCTGTGGGGCGTTGTCAGCCCTGCCTGTAAACTCCTTGTGCATGCTATGATACTGCTGGGTCTAGACCCAGAATTGTGACAATCTCCCTGATCTTGTCACCAACAGACCTCAAGCTCAACAGGTAGCAACACCTCTGGCTGCAATATTTCCGCTGCTATCTTCTCAGGGATGATTACTAGGGATGATACTCAGCCTCACCCTCTCCCACTTTTGTGATTGCTACAGCCAAACCACCCATCACCCACACAGGCAGATTGTCACCACCCCTACTACCTGTTAGACACAGCTTCCTCTCCCAGCTGTGGACGCACAATGGCTGAACTCACAGACCCTCTGAATGTTCCAACCAAAACCCCCCTGAACAACAACTTCCATATCTAGGTTGACTCCCAAATATGCTGTCTGTCAGAGAGGCCCAGAGAGGGGAAGTGATTTGCCCAAGGCCACTCAGGGAGATAAGGGACTCATCTGGGTCTCCTAAAGCCCCATCTCTGCTGGTTCTTTGTAATTCTGCCAGGAATTTATCTTGTAGTCACTGCTCCATCCTTGGTCACCATCACCACCCTACCATCCTCTCTGCTTGGTTTCTGGTAAGGGCTGCTGGGGGCATCTGAGCTGCACTGAGGGACCCCCCAACAAGGGTCCTCCACACCCTTCTCCTTTACCCTACTTTCTGATGGTAGTTTTCAGGGCATCTCCACCTGGTTTGGGGCCCCACATCCTTGCACTTCCAGAACTCACCATGGAAGAACTCCCACGGACTTACCATGGTGAGAGTTGGTGTCTGGGCTCCTGCGGGGCACCTAATGGGATCGTGACAGGGTGTAGCTTCAGGAGGCTCGTGAGGGCGGCTTAGGTATGGCCATGCTCTTGCTCCTTAACCCGACTCCTGGCTTTAGTTCCTCTTACAACAGTCCCCTCTCACTTCCTTTGGCAGGAGGGGCCGCGCCCCAAGGGGGAGGGAAGCTGGCCTTGGGGGCAGGGAGGGGGTGGGGAGAGAGCCTGGGGCTCTGAGCCTCAGGGGAGAGGTCAAAGTTTGATGGCAGCCACTCCCAGACCCCAGAAAGCCCCTTCCCCAACTCCTTGGAAACAAGGGCTGCAGCAAAGACTACTCAGGTCAGCTGGCTGCAGGACTGGCCATCTCTTCTGTGAGATCCAGGATGCATGTGGGCTGCCCAGCGTCCAAAACCAGGGAAGGAAAGTACCACTAAAGATGTGTCTCCTCTGGGCAGCACTGGGCAAACTCCCTCTTCCAGTGCTGCCTTTCTGCTGGACCTACCTCCAGAACAACCCTTGAGATCCAAGTGTGGCTGTGTGTGTTTGTGTCGTAGGTGTGGAGGGAACCAGGGGCTGGGTGCATCTTTCAGGTCCCTGGCTTTGGATGTCAAGTCTGCATCTAACAACCCCCCAGCTCTGCTACTTTCTGGATAACTTGGTCTCCCTGTTTTCTCTTAGTAAAATGGGAACTACAGACCTCCTAGCACTGTCAGGCACACAGAGTACCCATTCTGTGTCATGATCTTTGGGAGACCAGCAGAAAACACAAGTTTCCTCTTGACACTGAGTAAATGGCAGTTCCAAGAGGTTGTCACCTTCCCACCCACCTGGCTGAGACAGAGCCTAACCCTGGAAGAGTCTGGCAGATCTATCTTTGGTCCAGACCTGAGGATGGGGGTGAAACACACACACATCCTTCTCCCAGAGGCCATCTAGACACTGTGCTCAGTGTGATGAAAACGAAGATGGAAGGAGCCTGTCTCTCCTTGAATCTCCTGGGTGGGGAAAGGGGCGGGGCTAACTACTCCAATTGTGCAATTGACAAGCTTGGTGCATGCAAACCTCAGCAACTTCTCCAGGCATGAAGAGTGACTAAATAGGTAGCAGGAGCCCATCTTGTAGGTGGCCTCAGGGTTGGGTTCTTGGAGGAGACAACGTTTGTGTGCTGACATTGAAGAGTAAGTTAGAGTTGACTAAGTGAGGAGGTACAGGGAGGGAGGTGAGGAGATCTAGAGCCATTGAGGAACTTTAAGGAGGCCAGTGTAGGTGGAGTGTGAAGAGCGACAGGTTATGGAAGGGCTATGGTGGCCAGGATGGCAGGTGCCAGACAGTGTGGCTTTCAGAACCTCCACGAGAAGCTGTGAACTGTGGCTGCTCTCCAAAGCCTGGGCAGGGGCTACTGGACACGGACACACTGACGCACACATAGGCACACACTTGCACATGGAAATCTACACAAGACAGAACTTTATTGATGGAGGGCTTCCTGGTGAGGACTGTGTGGACCCCAGGGCAGGGCCTGTAGCACCATGAGGAGGGGTGGCCTGGATGTTGGGGACCCCCTGGGACAGGCAGGGCAGAAGTTGGGGTGGATCTTCCCCCTAGTCAGGTCAGGGGAAGGGTGTCAGGGAGGTGGTGCTAACTCCTCTCCCCTATAGCAGACATAGATACCCTCAGCTCAGAGTCGGGGGTTAGGGCAGTGCTGGGGGGCAGGGCACTGGCAGGCCCCTGCCTCACCCCCACTCTTCACAGTACATAATATGATCCAGGGGTGGGGAGGCAAGTGTTCAGAACTCCCTAAAGGTAGATGTAAAGAGCGCTGGGGCAAACAGTTGTCCCCTCCCCAGACCTACCATGGAGGGGGTCAGACTATGTGAGGGGGGAGGACCGGCTGAAAAGGGGCCCTTGGAGTAGTTAGCCCTGCCCCTTTCCCCACCCAAGGGCCCGGCAGGGGTTCCCAATAAATAACTTCCGGCTCCATCTCACCCTACACTCCCAGCTCCCGCTGGGCTGGACCCCTCTCCAGCCAGCTGCAGGGATAGAGGAGGGGAGGAGCGGGACCCCCGATTCCATTCTCCATCCCAGCCAGCGCCGGTTGTGGCTCCGGGTGCCGCGCGCCCCCTAGTGGCCCTGGCAGGTTTTGCAGCACATCTGGCGGAAGTAGGCTCGGCTGCAGAATTGAAATTTGAGCACCAGGGGGCAGTAGGCGACCTTGTTCACATCCTTGCACTCTGGGGGTTGGGGGGGGGGAGCGGGAAAAGGGAGAAATTAGGTCTGCACCACCCTCCCCGCAGGGGTACACCCGCTGTCTGCACACTGCTTCCTGGACAGTGATTTTGCCACTGTGTGTCTCAGTTTCAACTGTCAAAGGGGGCTTATAACAGTACCTATGTTATTAGGCTGTTTAGAGGACTTGGCGCAAGGTCGGGAGGCAATACGGACACATTTTTACGTAGAAAAGCATTCCTTTTCCACTGATTCTTTTTTTTTTTTTTTTAATTGAGACAGAATCTCACCCTGTTGCCCAGGCTAGAGTGGTCATCCTAACTCACAGCAACTTTCAAACTCCTGGGTTCAGGTCACCCTCCTGTCTCAGACTCCTGAGTAGCTGGAACTACAGGTGCCCTCCGCAATGCTCAGCTAATTTTTCTATCGTTAGTAGAGACAGGGTCTCACTCTTGCTGAGGATGGTCTCCAACTCCTGAACTCAAGGGATCTGCCTCTATCTCCCAGAGTATTATAGACGTGAGCCACCTAGTGCACCTGGCCACCACTGATCCTTTTGAAACCACCCAGGAGAGAATTTCCATTGGGGGTTGTAAGCCTCTCCCCTTTACTTTTCTTATTTTTAGAGACAGAGGCTCGATCTGTGGCTCAGGCTGGAGTGCAGTGGCATGATTGTAATTCAATGCAGCCTCAAACTCCTGGACTCAAGGGATCCTCCACCCTTGGCTTCCCACAGTGCTGGGATCATAGGCATGAACACTGTGGCCAGACTCATATGGGTTATTTTATTCCAGATACCTACTGGGGCCCCTCCTCAAGTGAACATATTATTTCCCCACCTTGACAGATAAGGAAATGAAGGCACAGCATTGGAAGGTGAACCAATTTGGGTCCAGTGCCCACAGTAAGGAATCTATTTCTTTTTATCAAAGATAAATTTACATAGATAGAAAAGAAAAGGATGTACATAAAGTGGTGGTTCTCAAGGGAAGGTGATTTTGACCCCCAGGGGACATTGGGCAATGTCTGGAGACATTTTTGGCTGTCACAACTGGGGGAAGGCTGCTACTGGCACCTGGTGGGTAGAGGCCAGGATGCTTCTCAACAGCCTAAGAAACTCACAACAAAGAATCATCTGGACTCAAATGTCAATAGTGCCTGAGGCTGAAAAACTGATTTTTTTTGGGGGGGGGGACAGAACCTCAAGCTGTCACCCTGGGTAGAGTGCTATGGCATCACAGTTCACAGCAACCTCCAACTCCTGGCTTAAGCAATTCTCTTGCCTCAGCTTCCCAAGTAGCTGGGACTATAGGCACCCGCCACAACACCCGGCTATTTTGGGGTTATAGTTGTCATGGTTGTTTGGCAGGTCTGGGCTGGATTCAAACCCACCAGCTCTGGTGTATGTGGCTGGTGCCTTAGCTGGTTGAGCTACAGGTGCCAAGCCTGAAAAACTGATTTAAAAGAAAAAATATTTATATTTGGCAAATAATGCTACAGGTGGAGATGAACAGAGCAAAGGTCAAGGAAGTGATTGGCAAAATGACTCAAATTTGGTCACCCAGAAGGATCAGGTGCCTAAAACTGATAATGGGCGGCGATGCCTGTGGCTCAGTGAGTAGGGCGCCGGCCCCATATACCGAGGGTAGCAGGTTCAAACCCAACCCCAGCCAAACAGCAACAAAAAAATAACTGGGCATTGTGGCAGGTGCCTGTAGTCCCAGCTTCTTGGGAGGCTGAGGCAAGAGAATCGCCTAAACCCAGGAGTTGGAGGTCGCTGTGAGCTGTGACACCACAGCACTCTACCACGGGCAATAAAGTTAGACTCTGTCTCTTAAAAACAAAAACAAAAACAAACGATCACAGGGAGAAGATGTGAAGGATGTCCTGATGGAGGCAGAACAAGGCAGTTCAAGATGCTCTAGAACTAATGGTCAGGACCCCATGCGCTGCTGTGGCTTCCTCTGGCCAGGGGAAGGGCCCTCCTGGTGTGCCCTGGCCGGGTGCCCACATACCTTCAGGGCCATCTCCAGGGGGCACGCTGTCACACTTGGCTTCACACTGCTGTGTGGCGGGCGGCCGCAGGGCCTCGGTGCATTCCTGCGACGGCTGGCCAATGTGGCTAGTGCAGAGCACAGAGCGCTGCTGCTGCCCGACACCACATGGCGCAGAGCACTGCGGAGACAAGCCACTTATCTGCTGCCTCTGCCCCACCCCTGTCGCCCTCTCTTGTCCCCCCACGGCTTGTCCGCCTACCTCACCCCACTCGCCCGCCACCCAGCGGGCTGGTGGGCAGCGGCGCAAGTTGCAGCGCATGGTGGCAGGTGGCTTGGCTGCTGGCGGGCAGTGTGCTGGGGGCAGCGTGGCACGATGGTCTGCGCTCTTGCAGAGGACCACGCGGTGGCGGAGGCCTGGGCCGCAGCTTGGGGTGCACTGCGGTTGTGGGGGCGTTTCATGCTCAGTGGATGGGCAGGGTGCTGGCCCAGTGGGAGGGGTGGAGGGGGGTCAGTTAACATTGACAATGCAGGAGAGGCGCTTTAGTGGGTACCCCACATTATATTGTCCTAGCTCCTGCCCTTCTCTGCACAGGGTGTGGGCTGTGTGTGAGTGGGAAGTAAGAGGGGTGGCTGACCTCAGACCAGTCGAGGGCTGCCCACTCAGGAGGACAGGCGGGGCCCTGGCAGGCCTCCAGCACTGGCGGGCGTGGTTGCGGGCATGCACTGTCGTCCAGCGCCTTCTCCTCAGCGGCTGACACGCGGCGCAGGCACACCACAGAACGGCTCCTCACGCCCGCATCACAGCTGCGGCTGCAGCGTGACCAGTTCCCTATAACCCAGCTGTGGGAGGTACGAGGGTGGGGTGGGGGCGGGGGGCAGGTCTGAGACGGAGGATGAGAGCAGCGGTCCTGTTCCTGGAGCTGGGGTCAGTAGGTTAGCCCCACCTTCCCACCAGTCAGCATCATACGGAAACTGGCACTGGTCTAGGTGGCTCTGCCTTAGGCAGGAAGTACCTCTCCTCCCCCAGTCCCACACTTGGAGCATCACTACCCTGCGCCCAGATCCAGGGCAGGGGCAGGGAGGTGCATCACCCTAAGGATAGACAAATTCTTGGACAATCAGCTTGTCTAGGGAACACCATCATTTTGTCATTTTGACTCCAGGGCCATCCAAACTTGACCCCTATCTTGGAGAGCAGTATTACTCTGACTCTCATTAGCCCTATCACACTACCACCTGGGCACTCTGGTCCCCCCCTTTCCCCCTGCAACCCACCCGCTCCCCATCCCTGGAGCACTCACCCTGACCCCAGGGAGCATTCTCATCCTACCCTGAGCAATGCTGCCCCCTGATGGGCACTCACTCTGGTGGGCAAGGCTCTGTGTTGCAGGCCCGCTGCCTCTTGGGCAGCTTGCTGTGGGCACTGCAGTGGTGGGGGGCCACGGCTGAACTGTCCAGCTGGTTGCGGCACTCCACTGCCTGCACCTGGCTACCTGGGGGAGGGTGAGAGGCCCACTCAGCTCTGCCTGGCCCAGAGAATTTCAGCCCTGGTACCCAATGCCCAGTGTGCTCCAGCCCAGCCTCACCACCAGCACACTGGGCTGAGCACTTGGTCCAGGGTGCATAGTGCCAGGAGTAGGGGGGCAGAGCATCACGGGTGATGGGTGCGTTGAATCGGTAGCGGAGGGCAGGCAGCTCGGTCCGGGCCAGCACCTGGGTGTGTGGAGGAGAGAGGCAGCAGGTCACATGGAGCCTGCATTCCAAAGGATGCTGATGTTTTGGGCACCATACCATTCCCAGCCCAGGCCTGCTTGGGAACATGCTGTTACCATGATGATGAGAGAGGCATTAATGGGTCCCAGGGCTTCTAGGCTCTGAGCCTGGTCTGGCCCCTGTCGCAGCTGAAAGGTAGTCCCGGCCAGGGGCAGGCGGTGGGGCTGGGGGGTCCCAGGTAGCCCCTCCAGGAGCAGGGATTCCTGGTCTCCCTTCAGAGCTTATGGGATGCAACAGCACAGGGATCAGAACTCTAGTCACACTGACTCTCCCAGTCCCCACACTCCTCACTCCCCTGTCAGCTCACCCAGGTGACTGAGGGAGAGATTCAGGTCCTGGATGAAAATATGGACAGAGCCTTTGGGGATCCAGACGACGTCCTCATACCCTGAACAGTGGAGCTCAGATGTAACCCAATTGCATGTGCCCCACACCCAATGATAACAGCTAACCATTACTTCCCTAAGTGCATAGAGGACCATCTCACCACATCCCTCTCCACCCTGGTGACATAGACGTACCAGCAACCCCATTTTACAGATGACAAAACTAAGGCTCAGAGAAGCTAAACAACTCGCCTAGGTCTTACACCTAGGGAGTGGCTGGACTGGGATTTGAACCCAAACTTTGCCGACTCTTTAAACACTAAAATTGTCTCTTCCAATTCCTCAGGTCACCAAACAGGTGGTGGGGCTTGGGGAATCCCAGGAATCCCCTCTAGCAGCAAGCAAACAAGCAAGCAGCAGGACTGGGCCTTGGACAGAGGAGAAAAGGCATCACAGGCCTTTTCACCTTGCCCTTGGCTTTGGGGAGCATTATCACTTTGAATTCCATAAGCCAGAGAGAATCTACATAGGGTGACAAGGCAGTTTTAGCAGGCAGTGTTGGGTTTGCAGCAGGCTCCACCACTGACTACTTGGTCTTGGGCACCTGTGAACCCTCTACCTATGCCTACCTGTACCCTCCCGCAAATCCTGGTTTATCTGGCTGGACACTCATATTGTCCCTTTCCCACAGGTCCAGGTCACTGTATTCCATTCTAGTCAATCTCCTACTCCCATGGCAGGGGTCACTTGGTTCTGTGGAACCCCATTTGTCCCTAGGTCCCAAGACTCCTAATCTTTATCTGCTCAGCTCTGTCTCTTTGACCTACTAGGCTCCTTGACCCCCCTGTGTATCAACCTTTACTGTTCCCCCTAATGGTCCCTCTCTTAGAGACAGTCCCAATGGTCACCCACCCATCCAGCGGTCATCTGGATGTTGGTGCTGATCCTTCCTCCCCCCACCCATACCCCAAATCTGTGACTGGCTATGGCCTGTCATCCTGGCTTCTAAATTGGGCTCAATTCCATTTTTTGTTTTTGTTTTTGTTTTTTTAATCTTCACTGGTTCTTCCTGAGTCTGGGTTACCCCATTGTCTCATTCTTGATGCTAGGGGCCAGGCTGCCTGTTATAAAACCCCAATGGGTCCCTCCCTGGGGAATTAAAGTCACACTCTGCAATCTGCTCCTGGTGCCTGTGAGTGGGCAACTAGCCTGCCTCACCCAGACACTCTCTCCTTTAGTCCAAGCTGGGAATGGTGCTTCCTCTCCCCTAGTAAGCCTTTTCCTGCTAGCACAGAGTTGTCATTTCCCTGAGGATCACAGACCACTTCCCTGTCCCTGGCTGCCATGATAACAGCTAACCATTACTGTGCTCTGGGCATAGAGGGACATCTCACTGCATCCCTCTCCATCCCTATGACAGACATATTACCACCCCCATTTTACAGATGAAAAAACTGAGTCTCAGAAAAGCCCAACAACTTGTCCAGGAAGAGTGGTCCCTTCCCAGACTGGGCATGAGGCCCCCACGATGGCAACAGGAAAGATCTAGGTCCTTAACCCCCAAGACACTCTTAATTGCCAAAGTTTAGGCACCAGAGTCCAAGCCAGTCACTGGGGCCCACTCTTGACCTGGATCTGGGACATTGTGGTTTGTGCACTAGGACTTTTTGTCCCCCTGACACCTCACAGGGACCCTTGGCTCTATGGAGTTACTGCTAATCTTGGGTAGAGTGGTGGAGTCAGTCCTGCCCTGGCCCAGGTGGAGAGCATGGGAGGGAAGCTCAGGGCTCTCACCTGCCCCAGCTGAGGCTGGACTGAAGACTCCCTCAATAGTTTCACAGGCACTGCCATCCCCTCCACACACTCGGCATTTGTCCTCCCGCAGGTCAGAGCCCAGGACCCGGTCACAGCCCACATGCTGCATGGAAAGGGCCAGGAGGAGTGGGGGTGATCGAGTACATGCCACCTCCTGCTGCACCCCTTATCCTCGCTCCACCTTCTCTGGAGTCTACCTTGCACTCGCCGCTGACACAAATGTCCACTGTGTCTGGACGGCACGGTGTCCCATCTACCACCGCCGCGGCCCTCTCCGTGTAGAAGTTGAAGCCCTCAGCTAGGCAAGTGAGCGAGCAGGCCTTCACGCCCCCTGGGGGGCACAGCCCCGTTAGAGTGCAGGCCAGGATACCTTGGAACCCCCCCACACTCCTTTGGGAAATGTGAAGCCAAGAGGATAGACCCCAGACCCAACAGAATAGGCAGCTTGGGCAGAGGGAGTGGGGGTTCCCAATGTCCAGTTGAGGTGCCATTGAGCCATGTCCCAGGCACTCTGGATTTCTGGGTGAGGACAGGGCCCTAACTAGATCCCCCAAAGCTGCATCCATCTACCTGCTGGACATGGCTCTGGCCTTTGGAATTCCCCACTCACCTCCTCGGTATGTCTTCCATGTGTAGAATTTTCCACGGAAAGGGACACTGTCAAATTCAGAGCACTGCATTTCTCTGAAGTCCTGGGAGCCAGGTGGACAGTCCTGGTGGCATGAGAGGGGAGAAGGAGGGATGCCAGATGTGTGTTGGGGAGATGGAGCTGGATGGGTTGGAGCCAGGGAGCAGACTGTGATGGTCCAGATGTGAATGGATGTGGCCAAGGCATCAAAAGACATTGGGGTGTCTTTTTGGGGCTTATTGAGGATGACACTAGCCTTCTAGTTTCAGACAACAGGGCCTTTCTTTTCTTTTTCTTTTCTTTTTTTTTTTTTGTAGTTTTTGGCCAGGGCTGGGTTTGAACCTGCCACTTCTGGCATATGGGGCTGGTGCCCTACTCCTTTGAGCCACAGGTGCCGCCCAACAGGGCCTTTCTTTAGAGAGCAGGTCTAGGAAGGAGCAGGGTTTGGGGACATGAGCACAGCCCAAAAATGTGCCAGGGGGTTTAGTGAGAAGAAGCCCAGCTTTGGCGGGTGACAGAAAGCAGGGCTCTCTTGGGGGAGATGGCTTGCAATGGGTGGGGACTGACTGGAATGCAGGAGGTTGTAAAGTCCAGGCAAAGAAAGAACTCAGGGTGGGAGATTCATCTCCTGGAAGACTCTCAAGATAGGAAGAAGAGTTGGAAAGAACCAGATCTCTGGGGAGGTGCAAGGGGTGGGGACCGGGAAAGCAGTATCCAGGGACAGGTGATGGAGGAAGGGCAGGGAAGAAAGGGCTGGTCGCTGCAAGTCCCCGCTGAAACATTTTGCTAGCTTTTTCTTGTTCTTCCCCACCAAACCAGAAGAGAGGGTTTCGAGTCTCAGGGGAACTCACATCGGTGTTGCAGGAACGATGCCGCCTTCTCTCTCCCAGACAGTACTTTCCCCCGATGGTTGGCCTGGAAGGGGTGGGTTAAGGCCAGCTCAGAGATGAGGCAGGGGGAGAGGGAGTTGGGGGTGGGAGGCTGAACCACTCTCCTGGGAAGGGGCTGACCTGGGGCTGTCGCAGTGACGGCTGGAAGAGGACACGCCGCCGCCGCATGTCCGGCTGCAGTCGCCCCACGGGGTCCACGAGCCCCAGGCTCCATCCACACCCTCTGGCCGTGACCCGAAGGGGACACACACTCGCTTGTAGCACCACTGAATGGGAAGGTGGCAACAGACGGGTAGAAATGGGTCGGGATCCGCGGACATTGGTGGGGGGCCCTCAGTGTCTGGTTCCCCCTCCACACCTCAAGCAGAGGCGGGCTCCGAAGACGGGAACCTTCAGGTAGCACAGGGGCATGGGTAGAGAGCCAGATACCGTTCAAGCAAGAGACGTATCTCAATCTTAGGGTCATAACTATTGAGTGGTGCGTGGGGGTGTGTGAAATGGTATCCTGACAAGCGCGCAGGGCGTGGCTTGATGTGGGGTGTGGCCTCAGGCCAGGGGCGGGGCCTGCGGGAAGAGGGCGTGGTCAGAGCCGAGAGACTCCAGATCCCGCCGGCAAAAGCCGGGGCCCTAGGGGCGTGACCAGAACCAACAGAGAACTCACAGTCGGGCGTTAACTACGAGAAGCAGCCCGAAGGGCGTGACTTAAGGGCAGGGGACAGGGCGCAGGGCCTGGCTGGGGTTCTCGGTCGGCGCTCACCCCCTTGTCGATGGTGTGCGTCTGGCAGAGCGTGCCCTCGGCGGCCGGAATGCTGTTGGTGATGCACCGGTTGCTCTTGCTCAGACACCACAGCTCGCTGCAGACCTCCTGCGGGCCGAGGCGCCCGCTCAGGCTCGCCCCCTGCCCCAGTCTCCCTGGGGTAGCCCCCCGCCCCGAAGCGGGAGCCCCAAGCGCTCCTTTTCTGGGCCTCAAGGAGTCTTCTTGGAGTCTCCTGCAGGGGCATGACCTAAGCCTTATATACTCTGCCAATAAAACTGCACTTATGGAACACCTGTGTGGGCCACGGACTCCTTTCGGCGTGACCATTCACATTACACCGCGAGTTTCGGACAGGTAGGGTCACTTGTTAGAGGTCACGCAGCTACTAAGGGCAGCCTGGAATCTAACCCAGATCTCTGGTGCAGGTCTATACTTTAATTAACTCTTTTGCAGCTCAGCTCATGGCAACTTCGGAGTTTTTTTTTTCTCTTTTGTAGAGACAGTTTCACTTTATCGCCTTCGGTAGAGTGCCGTGACGTCACACAGCTCACAGCAACCTCCAACTCCTGGGGTTAGGCGATCCTCTTGCTTCAGCCTCCCAAGTAGCTGGGACCACAGGCGCCTGCCACAACGCCCGGCTATTTTTTGTTGTAGTTTGGCCAGGTTTGAACCCGCCACCTTTGGTTTATGGGGCTGGCGCTCTACCCACTGAACCACAGGCGCCGCCCAACTTCAGAGTTTCTAAAAGGAAATTTGGGACATACTGAGGAATGAATAGGACGAATTCTGGTTTTGGGGGGATAGGCAAAGTAGCCTAGGAGAGAGTGGTGGCTCCAAAAAAATCAGGCCTGGGCGATGTCCTGGCTCAAGGGCCCCAGCTCTAGTTTTTGTTTTCCGGCTGATGGTTCTCTTTAGCCCCCCACCTCAACTGGAGAAGCCCTCTGACCCCAACACTTTTAAGCTGTAAGGAGGGGGTGGTGGTGGGAGTTCGGGAGAAGACACCACCAGGTTGGCACTGTGTGGGATATTCCTGTTTCCTCCAGTTTTAAATTTGCTCTGCCTTCTTCCTGCTGCAGTTCTGCTAAGGTTGGCTCAAGTCCTGTCCACGGCAGGTAGCTGGACCATTCCCGGGGACTCACTCTGACCCTGTAGGCCCAGGTTAAAAATCCCTGGAGAAGCCCCACTGGATTCAAGGGTGGCCAAATGTCAGAACCTCTTGGTGTCCATCTTGGACAATCACCCAGGGCCTTCCACCCATTTTATAATAAGGTCCAAACCCCTCTTTGAACAGAATCCAAGCTTGTTTGTTTTTTTTTTTTTTGCAGTTTTTGGCAGGGGCTGGGTTTGAACCCCTCACCTCCGACATATGGGGCTGGCGCCCTACTCCTTTGAGCTACAGGTGCTGCCCAGAACCCAAGCTTTGATGATTTGGGATTGGATCAACCAATGGCCATAGGAAGGGAGTTGGCCTCTGAGAGACGTCTCCACCCACGTGAGAAGTCTGAAGAGCTGTCCTCAAATCTCCTGCAGAGAGTCCCTGTCTTCTGCCTAACAGAGAACACTTCTGAGCCTAAAACTTAGGCTGGTTTTCTGGCTTCACTTATTGTGTCCTGGCCATTTCTAAAAATAATCACATCAATACAGCACCAATCCCACTTGTGACACCTCTTAAAGAGAACTAACCCTGCTTTTGACCTTCCTCCCACAAGGAGGTACCACATGTATGAATAACTCCTAGGCCACTTTGGGAGACCTCAACTCTGCCATGAACTTGCAACACACTGGCCCTCTCTGGGCCTCAGTTTTCTCATCTACAAGATGGGCAGCCTAATGCCTGCCCTACCTACATAAATAGCTGTGATACTTCAGCTTGCAGGGTGCATAAAAAAGGCCTTGCATAAGTGCCCTGTTATGTGTAACTTGCGAATAACAGGCCTGCCATAAGTTTAGATGAGATTATACACTTCGCATGCTTAATACATAGTGAACATTCAGAGAATGTCAGACATCATTGGCATTGTTCAGATACCTAGGACATAGATGTTCAGGGGTAGCTTCAGAATCTTTAGGAGTTCATTAGTGGGTGCTTTAGTTACCAGTTAAGTTAGGGTGTGGAGGGTGGCAAGAGCAGAAAATCAATGAAAGATAAGCCATTTCAGGGTCTGTCTCCTTGTTTTGCAGTGGAAGGAAGTGAGAGCATTTTAGCAGTCAGTCCTGCCTGCTCCCTGCTCTGTGTTAATATGGCAATAGCTTGGACATGGCCATGCCAACCTGGATCCTTTTGAGTCATGAGGGTGAGGAAGAATTGGGCCCAGGCCCCTAGCCCCTTGTCTGTGGGGAGTGTGTTTAGAGAACAGAGGGATGTGGACAGAGGGGCAGGCCCTGCTGAGCCCTGGTGACTGAAGCAGGAAGCCAGCAGACCTTCAGCTTCTTGGGGATGGGAGGGACTGGGTGTGGGACCCACCACTCCTCACTGCTCATTTCCCTATGCATCGGTGGGGCTGAGAAGTCTTAGGCCGGTTGCGGTTGCTCACGCCTGTAATCCCAGCACTTTGGGAGGCCAAGGTGGGCAGATTGCCTGAACTCATATGAGTTTGTGATCAGCCTAAGCAAGAGTAGGACCCCATTTCTAAAAAAAAATAGCCAAGTATTGTGGCAGGGGCCTGTAGTCCTAGCTACTTGGGAGGCTGAGGCAAGAGAATCACTTAAGTCCAAGAGTTAGAGGTTGCTGTGAGCTATGATGCCAGAGCACTCTACTGGAGGTGACAAAGTGAGACTCTGTCTCAAAAAAAAAAAAAAAAAAAAAAGTCTAAGTCTTGGGAAAGAATGAGGAGAAATCAGGAGACTCAAGGCCTACCCAGCCAGAAGAGCTTGTGAACCAGTCAGTAGGGGACATGGGAAATGAAGACAGGGAGTACTTGGAAGTTTCTGTCCAGTTCTTTGCCAAGTGGGGAAGATAGCCATCCCCAGGGAAATTATTTTCATCAAGCCTTGATGTTTAGTTAAACTCCCCCAATGACATGTCTTGGGACTTTGGTCTTGCTGCAGCCCACAGGTGGCCTGATGTGCTAGACAGAAGGTGACTCCCCACTCCTGCCCCCAAGCTAGGCCTCTATCAGGGGTCTGAGAAAGCAGGAGATCCCATTCTTGTTCCCAAACACTGTCTGATTGCTTGGGACTTTTTTTTTTTTTTTATGGGTTTTTGGCTGGGGCTGGGTTTGAATCCACCTCCTCCGGCATCTGGGGCTGGCACCCTACTCCTCTGAGCCACAGGCACCGCCCATGCTTGGGACATTTTTTATGGAACATGCGCCTCTGTCCTCCTCCCACACCTCATGGGAGCTCACCTTACCCTCCTTCCCAGCTTTCCCATACCCTCAACTGCCCAGGTCGGTGGGCGCAATGGTGGATTCCCCACCCGCTGTGGCCCGTCCCCTCCCAGGAAGGAAAGCAGGAAGGCTCTCTCTACCCCGTATTTACACTGACGCGATTTGACTCCGTGCTGGAAGCGGCATTGCTCATCTGCGTCGTAAGCTTGGCCTGGTGCCACAGTTGGGTACACGAAGTCCTGTCTGGGAGGCCGGTTGTTCAGGCAGAGCCCCAGGCCGGAGCTACGATGAGAAAAACAGCCAGGGAGCTGAATGCAGGCCAAGAGCTCATGGTCTCCAGATGGGTGGGTGGGTGGTTCCTTGATGTTTAGAGCCTCCCCAAACCCTTGCCACATGAGCACAACCCACTGGGCGGGACAGGCAGGTGTGTCCTCACTCTAGAAAGCTGGTGATGTAGTCGCGGCTGCAAGATGACCACACGAATGGGTTGGTCTTCATGGTGATGTGGGCAGCCATGAGCTTTGCTGGGTCTTGGCCACGGGCCCCACAGCTATTCCCCACACCATCATGGTTCATGCCAAATCTGGGGAGAGGGGTGTAGGCTCTGCCAGGTGCTGGGGGGGAGGGACCCGCCCAGTGCCTCCCATCCTCCCACTACTGTGTCCCCTGGCCTCACGTGTGCCCAATCTCGTGGGCAATGGTGAACGCCGTGGCCAGACCAATGTCCTCGTTGATGCTGCAACTTCTCTCTCGCTCACACATCCCGCCCACTGGGGCCAGGCCTGGGAAAATGGGTGGGTGTCGGGGAGAGGGGCTATGTTGCCTGGCCCCATCCACCTGCCAGGTCTTATTTCTCCCCATGGCCAGGATCATCCCAGCCCACTGCTTTCATCCTTGGCCGGTGCCTGAAACCTATGGGGCTCAGGTACCTAACGTGCCGCAGGGTTTGTTCTTATAGATGCAGATGTCGTATCTGTGAAAGGGAGACAAAGGTGACGGTGCTGGGCTGGCTCCCTAAGATTGGCTGATGCTACCCACCATGCCCTGTCTAGAGGTGTTACCTGCCTCTCACTCATGCTGTGGTACAGGAATGAATGACTGAATAAATGGCAGAAGGAGCAAATGAATGTGTCAGTTCCCAATGGCCCAACACTTCCCTCTCCTCATTCATAGGCAGTCTCTCTCCATCCTTGCCTCCACCCCCCACCCCCTCACACACAGTGACTAAAGTTTACCATCTCCTCTAGGATCCATGCTTGGGTTGTGACTATTCCCTGAACCACTTGTTCTCTCCGCCCAAGTCCTGGAGCCCCTCTCCACCCCTCACCGAGTGATGAGCACTGCTGTGTCATGGTTGGCCACACCGTTCTCTGGAATGGCATTGCCGTGGCCGTTGTGGTTCACTATGGATTTCTGCCACTTACAGAAGCTGTCCAGGGACTTCCCAGCATGGTGGGTGATCTCCAGAGTGGGCTGGGGGTGGACAAGGGGAAGTGCATGGTGCCTGTTTCTTTGGCCGTGGAAGACTGCTCTGGCATGGAGTGGAAGGGATGGGACTTCCCTTCTCCACCTTCCCTTCTTCCCTGTACCTGGTCCTCTGTGAGCAGGATGAGGCGAGTTACAAGGATGTTAACGGTGTTGCCCAGACTTGAATCCTGAAAAAGTTTGGCAACCTGACCTCCAAGAAACAAGAGAGACCGAGTCTTAAGAGGGGCTCAGAGTAGAAAACAAACAGCAAAACAAAGATACCAGCTTGGTTTTTTTTTTTTTTTTTGAGATAGAGTCTCAAGCTGTCACCCTGGGTAGAGTGCTATGGCATCACAGCTCACTGTAATCTCAAACACTTGGGCTTATGTGATTCTCTTGCCTTAGCCTCCCAGGGAGCTGGGACTACAGGTGCCCGCTACAACGCCCCGCTATTTTTTATTGTTGTTGCAGTTATCATTGTTGTTTTAGCTGTCCCAGGCCAGATTCCAAACTGCCAGCCTAGATGTATGTGGCTGGTGCCCTACCCACTGAGTATGGGTGCTGCCTGACAATAGCTTGTTTTAATTAAGTACGTGCTGAGTGCCGTGTCCTAGGCTAAACTTGCTGCATTTATCTTTTCATGAGCACATATAATGATCATTCCCATTTCACAGATGAGGAAATAATTGAGCACAAAGAGGTTGGGACACACAACTGGTAGGTGTCATAAATGGGACTTAAGTCTGGGTTGCTTACAAGCATGTTTCTTTCTGAGTCCCCCTCTGATTCCTTGGGCTCAGTTTATCTGTCTACTCATCCTCCAAACTCTGTTCACCCTCCTGGCTGCCTTGAGTGTCTCTGCCCAGAGGCAGCCGGAAGGATGAGTTTGGCTCATCTCCTGGCGTACCCATGTAAGTACCACCACGGGAAGGTGAACTGTGGGGGCAGGAAGCACTGGTGACCGGTCAGAGGGAAAGAGGAAGTATCTCAGGCAGTAAATGGGCACAGATGATGAAGGACAGGCTGTGCAGGGATCTTGGAGCCCTGGGTTATCTGGAAACCCCCAGGTATCCTGATAAGTTTTAGGAAATTTTGAAAGGCCAAGGAAGAGAGGCCAGGCTCAGGCAGAATATAATCGTATCAGAAATGAAGTTATGTCAACACTTAGGTCATCTATCTGTGTGCTAAGCCTTTTGTCTTCCCTTTTGCTTCAGTGAAACAACAGCACCATTCATCAAGCCCTCACCATGTGCCAAGTGGTCTGCTCAGCTTCCCTTTACAGGAGACACCATCATAACCTCACTTTGCAGGGGAGAAGCTGAGGCTGAGAGAGGTCCAGAGACTTAAGATTTAGTGGGCTGGTTTGGTGGCTCCTGCCTGTAATCCTAGCACTCTGGGAGGTTGAGGCAGACAGATTGCTTGAGCTCAGGAGTTTGTGACCAGCCTGATCAAGAGCAAGACCCCAGTTTCAAAAACTAGCCAGGCACTGTGGTAGAAGCCTGTAGTCTCAGCTACTTGGGAGGCTGAAGCAAGGGGACCCCATGAGCCCAAGAGTTGGAGGTTGCCTTGAGCTATGACACCATAGCACTCTACCCAGGGTGACAAACTCAGACTCTGTCTCAAAAAAAAAAAAAAAAAAAAAGGAAGATTTAGTATGAGAACCAAGTATATCTGAGGTCATGGAGGTAAGGCCTATATAAATTTGTTAAGTAGGTGCCTGTGCAGACCTCTGCGTGCCTACAGATATGTACCTGCATGTGTACTGCTAACCTCAATGAGTACCTTCAAGCTGTGTGTTTATTTATGTATTTATTTATTTTTGAGACAGAATGTCATCCTGTCACCTGGGCTAGAGAGTGCATGATAGCTCCCTACAATCTCAAATTCCTGGGCTCAAGCAATCCTCTTGCCTCAGCCTCCCCAGTAGCTGGGACTAAAGGCACCTGCCATAGTGCCTGACTAATTTTTCAATTCTTTGCAGAGACAGGGTCTTGCTATGTTGCTCAGGCTGGTCTTAACTCCTTGCTTCAATTGATCATCCCACCTTGGCTTCCTTTTTTTTTTTTGAGACAGAGTCTCATTCAGTTGCCCTGGGTTTGAATGCCATCGTGTCATAGCTCCAGGCAATCCCAAACTCTTGGGCTCAAGTGATTCTCTTGCCTTAGCCTCTCGAGTAGCTGGGACTACCGGCCACAATGCCCAGCTATTTTTAGAAAGGGGGTCTCGCTCTTGCTCAGAGCTGGTTGCAAACTCTGTGAGCTCAAGTGATCTGTCCACCGTGGTCTCCCAGAGTGCTAGGATTACAGGCATGAGCTACCGTGCCCAGCCTCCACCTTGGCATCTTAAAGTGTGGGGATTATAGACATGAGCCACCATATCTAGGCTCTGTGCTTATTTTTATACACAGCAAACACGTATATGGCACTATTATAAGTGTGACACCACTTATACTGTGTTCCAAGCACTGCTGCAAAGATTTTTATCAATACACTGAATCTACTTTAGACTTTTAAAAGGTAGGTGCCTTATGAAGTAGATACCATTATTACCCCCATTTTGCAAGATGGGTAAGCCAAGAAAGATGGGTAAAGTAAGTTGCTCAAGGGCACACAGCTAAAAAGTGGCAGAGCTGGGATTTAAGCCCAGGCAGGCTACCTATGTTCCCAGTCACTGCACTACCCTACCTTTCCTCATTCATTATCATGTGCAGCCTCCTTCTTCATCCCATCCCCAGGTCAGGGATTGGGGATGGGGTGGCGACACCCCTTTTCCTGACATCTGGAGTCTAGCCCCCGGTCCTTAGGGCTGCCCAGGGAGGGGGAGGCACTTACAATGTTCATGATAGCCAGCACGTACTGCTCCACATCGCGGCGCCCATGGTAGGCCACCATCATCTTGTCAGCCACCACCAGGGTCTCCACATAGCGCTCTCGGCTGACTGACCGCTTCAGGCCTGGTTGGCCACGCTCTGTGTCATTTCCCAGGGGCCTGGCAGGTGGTGGCTTCAGGGTACGCAGCCACCATGGCCGTCCCTTCCATGGTTTCTCATCTGGAAAACCCAGGAGAGAACAACTGAACCCTGACCTGGCATACACAACTGTCTCACAACAGCCTGACTCTCTACTCAACAGCAGAAGGGACAATTTCTGGTCATTCTTCTGCTGGCTCTTGTTGTCCATCTACCTGTCTGATGGTCCATCTGCCCAACAGGCTGTCAAATACCTAATTTTGCTGTCAGGCATCCTGGGATACCATGTCTGGTTCTACAATGTCCCACTACCTGAATTGGGTCTACAATGACTGTCCCACTGCCCAATAGTTGGGTTGAGTAAGAGACTGACTTCCCTACTGTCTGGTTGTACTGTCTGAATGCCCAGCTGTTATAGCTGCTCAGCAACCAGACTGCCTTAATGCCCAAATGTCCAACTGAACACCTGCAGCGCTGTCCCCCTGCCATGCTGGCTGGCTGGACTCCTGTCCCATTATACTCAGCATGACGGTATATACCCCTAACAATTCTGCTGCCTCATGTATTTGTTTGGAGCTGCCCATCTCCCTGTCTGAACTATGCGCTTATAAAACTTTTCCTCCCAACCAAGCAACTTTACAATCAAAAGCACTCTGCCTCAAGGGAAAGATGGTGTGTATCCCTTTTGCTGATCCCCTGAAACTCAGATGTACCTCTCACTCCACAGGCTGTGTCCAGGTGGGGGTGACGCAGAGAAGAACGCTTATATACCACGTGGGGTCCACTTTCCTCTGGGCTTCGAGGACCCTTGGGCCCACCTTGCAGGGGTTCAATCAGGTATTCTTCCTCATCTGCCACAATCAGTCCATGCTGGGTTTTGAGAAGTGGAGCAGAAAGCTTAGATCATGTTCTCCATTCTAGGACCCTGGGAATCTCTCAGTCTTTTTTTTAGACAGAGTCTTACTTTGTTGCCCTTGGTAGAGTGCCGTGGCATCATCGCTCACAGCAACCTCAAAATTTGGGGCTCAAGTGATTCTCTTGCGTTGGCCTCCTGAGTAGCTGGGACTATAGGTGCTCACTACAATGCCTGGCTATTTTTAGAGATGGGGTCTCACTCTTGATTAGGCTGATCACAAACCCATGAGCTCAGGTGTTCCACCCCCCCTTGGCCTCCCAGAGTGCTAGGATTACAGGGATGAGCCACTGCGCTTGGCAAATCTATCTTTATGATTTCATTCCTATCTATCTATCTATTCTATCTTATCTTATAGGATAAATTCCTTTTCTAATGCCTCAAGGGATATACAACATCTTTCCCTTGCATCAGAGAAGAGGAATCTTTCCATTAATTTTCTGCCTTCCCTAAGGCTATGCATTTTCCTTTAATTACTGCTTTCGATGCATCCCCAAACCCCTGATTAGTTCAAAATACTTAAAAAAAATTCTCACTATGATGGTTTTCTCTGACTTCTATTTAGAAAGGTTTTTCTTAACAAGGTTTTTCTTGTGAGCATTTCCCCTTGCTTTCCAGAATTCTCAGCTCACCAGGCCTCCACAGGTGCTGATGGCCACATGGGAGCTGCCAGCCTGGCCCTGCAGGTGGCCGGCATAGAGGCAGTGGGGCTGGGCAGCCCTCTGCCAGGCCAGGCCCTCCCGTGTCCAGTACTCCACAGAGACGTGCCCTGCCAGTAGATGGGAGCTGTGGGTCAGGTTCAGCAGAAAGTGGGTGCTGGGTGCGGCCACCTTGTAGAAAAGGCAAGACTCAGCTGTGGCCCCTGTTCCCCGGCGCTGCCTCCGGGGAGGAGGTGGTGAGAAGGCCAGCAGTGCCCCATTGTGGTCCACGCGGGTGGGGAAGGCAATCTCGTAGCTCTCCAGAGTGGACAGGAACTCATCTGTGGGGGAGGGTCAGAGGCTCCAGTTTTGGCCGGACCTATGTGTCCTGGCTGCTGCAGCAGGACGTTGGTCTCACTGACCCCTGAATTCAGGTTATTGGCTGCAGGGCTCCTGTCTAAATTACCCCAGGGCCTTTCTCCCATTACCCCATCCATGCCCATTAACCCTTTTGTCTATTGGACCCTGACTGGTCTCCTCAACTTCTTTCTCCTTCCCCACTGCCCATCCCCCAACTGCTCTTACCTTGAGACCGGAAAGCATGGGTGACCTCGAATGTGAGGCCCAGCCCCAGGGCAAGGGCCCAGCGGAGGATCTGGCAGGCAGGAGCCATAGAGGCCACGTGTCCACATGTCTCTCTCCAGCCCTGGCTGCCGGCAGCCCCCACGGTGCCACCTCCCCTGTTCACAGCCTGGGCAACATCACTGGGGTCTTGGGAGGGGGAGAGCCAGGTCAGAGAAGGGGCCCGGTCCCAGTGCCCAGCATAGCCAGTACCAAGGCCCCTAGGATGGCCAAAGCAACCCTCCCCAAGATTCCAAATGCATCTTCTCACTCAGCAGCACCCCTCTCCCCATCCAATCCTTCCTGCACTCCTGGAAGAGGACAGGCAGGTATGAGGACACCATAAGCCAGCTATTGGTCCAAAGTTTTCACACCATTGCACTCTATTTCCAAAATATCTCTGAGAAGTCCACTCTCATCATTCTCCTTTTATAGATGAGGAAACAGACTTGGAGTGGTAAGAGTTTACCCAGGGTCACATGGCTAGAAAGTGGTGAACCTTTGGATTCATTCATTGGGGAATGACTGTGATGACCTCCAGAGGGATGTTACCCTTCACATCCCACCGCCATCACCACCCTGGCCCCATAGGGCTCAGTGTCCTGGGAACACAGATGACAGACAAGGCAACAGAGAAGAGTCCAAACTGTGATATGCTCTCTAGGAGGTGTTAATGGGGAGACTGGGAACCAGAGGTTTGAAGGAGGAGAAGAAACCAATCATGTGAAGAGACAGGAGAAGGTGTACCAGGCAGGGGAACAGCAAAGGCAAAGGCCTGGAGGTGGGGTGGGGCCTGTTAGGGACATAGGAAGGGCAGGTGCAAGCTGAGGCAAGGAGAGGCTGGCATGAGACATACTGGAAGGCTGGAAGGCTGAGGCAGTCAGTGTGAATTTTCGAGACAGATTAAAACCAAGGCCGGTGTTCAGATTCTGCACCCCCATTCCTACCCATAGTCTTGGGGCCTGTCTTTGGATCCTCAGCCCTGGGTAGCACCATTCGCCCCACCAGCGGGGCTGGAAACCACTGCCTCCAAGGTTCCTCAGGCCGGCTGGGCAGATCTGTTTCTCTGGCATCTGCCCTAGGCCAGCCTGCAGTATACAGCACTTTGGGCCACCACACGTGCCAAATCCTCCTCCCCCAAGCCCTCCCATCTCTGCCCTCCTCCTCCTTCTCTGTGCAAAATCCCCCTTAATCACACACTGTCTTGTTTTTATTGCAGCCCAGCCAAGTCTGAGAGTTGATCCCTAAACAGGGCAGTTTGGGCCTGGAGGGAAAGAGCGGGTTTTCTCTGAGTTGCTGACCTGAGAAGCCGGCATTCCCTACTTTCACTTGGACTCCTCCAGTGACAAGGAGCCCACTGATAGAGACTTTGTAATCCTGCTGCTCTGTTCAGCTGGGCTAATGCCTACTCCTTTTTTTTTTTTTTTTACCTTTGGGAGCTTTGTACGGTGTGGTACTGAGCCCCTGTGTAGATCCTTCTCTCTGCTGCTCCCTGAGCGTTGGTTGCCTCTTCTGTGGGACCCTTGGCAAAGAGGAGCCACCAGGCTGGTCTGGAGCACTGAACTGGGTCTGCAGTTCAGAGGTTGCTGATCCTCTTCCTGCCCCCTGGGGAACCTCTTCTGGGACTTTATCCTCTTTTCCTATTACCTTTCCCCATCGCCCCCCAAACTCTTTCCCTATCCATCTCTTCTGGCTTCCTCCTTATTCCTTCCTTGGAGGCTTCAACCATCATAGCTCCTCCCTGGCTTGGCTCTTCTGGCCCTGATCCTGCCTTAAATTGCCCCCTCCCCAGGTGGCAGCATTGTGAGGCTTGGAGTTGCCCCCTCCCTCCCATGGTTGTCTCTCCTGTCCTGACCCTTCCTCCCAACAACTCATACTCCCTCTTGGGCTTCAGCTCAGGTGTGGGGTAGGGGACAGTGTGGAAGGACTGGGCATAGGTGGGTGGAGGCAGAAGTAGGGGAGTTACCTGTGCACAGGATGGGAGGAAAGGGGTTTTGAGGGGGCTCACAGGTGTCTGAACCAGGGCCTAAAAGGTGTCACATAGACCAGGGCACTGGCACTGGGGGGACTACAGACAAATTGCTGGTTCTGGAGTGGGTCTGGGGGAGATGAGCTGGGGGGCAGTAAGTGGCAGGGATGGAATGAATAACAGGATATTAGTGAGGGATGTATGCTGTATGTGCATTATTGCATGTGAGTACGCACACCCAGTGTGTGTGTGCACCCAAGCCAGGTCTCACCATCCTCCTCCCACAGGCCTTTCTCCTAGAAAGCAGGGGGGAGGTGGCCAGCATAGGGGAGGGTGCCAAGAATGGAGCAGGAAATGGCTTGGAACTAAGGGTCTGCTCCCCCCATCCCATCCTGGGGATCCTGGAAGGAACATCAGCTCTATACCCAGCCCTCCTGTCCTGGCTAGAGGGCACAGGGCCTCAGTATGTCCTGATTAAGGCCAAGGCCAGGTCTGCCCAGGCAGAGGCCCTAGCCTCCTGCACATCTGGCTGGCTGATGGGAGGGAGGCAGCCCCTGCCCCAGAGCAGACAAAGGCCCAGAACAGCACCGGCCCTCAGGTGGTGCCTGACTGGCCCTCTCACCCCCTCAAACCAGTGGCAGCCACTAATTAAAGGCCCTGAGCCTTACTGCTGGAGACACCCTGAAACAGACAGCCACTTGGTGACCAACTCAGGGGAAGTGGGAGGTGTCACTCCCACACCCAGACACACAAACACACTGTGGCAGTGACACACACAGTCGGACAGCTGGGGACCAGTGCAGCCAGGGATCAGCAGCTGGGACCACCTCCAGCACCCCAAACCCACAAAGAAACCCCTCCCACCTCCAGACACACAAGTGACACGCTTAGTACACACTTGGAAGACACTTTACATGCTCTCCAGACCTGTGTGTACACACGCTTATACACTCATTTACACACTACACACAATCCAGAGACAAAGACATGGACACAAATTACACTCCTGGGGCCTGCCTACACACACACACACACACACACACACACACACACGGTAACCTGGAGACACACAGGCCTACATGCAGATGCACTACATTTGCACACTCACACCAGACAAACTCACAAGTGCCTTAATTGCAGGTTCCCCTACCACAGACACACACAGGCCTTCACATGCCCATCACACTGAGACACACACACACACATTCCTGGAGACAGACATACCAACTCAGATGCATACTTACCACAACGTGGACACACATACACAGTAGATGCTACCTATGTGCACACGCGCGCTAGTCTACGTTCACACTCAGGCAGACACGCAACAGACTCCTCTCCAGACACTGTCAGAAACACACACGGAACGCACAACCATTTGCACATACGTGGATGGCCACACACACATAACACACGAGCTCCAACAGGCGCTCCTGCGAGCCGGGGCATGTTTTGTGGCGCTCACACTTGGGGACATAAAGCATCGTCCCCACACACACTGTGGGACAGTCTAATGGCCCAAGGCCCACAGACACAACGGCCGATGCAGACGCGAAGTCACGCTATCTCCCCCCATCCCCCACCCCTGCCGACTGCAGTCCAGCCAGCGCGGTTACCTGCGCTGGGCCCTGGGCCTCCGTCCGGTCGCCGCCGCCGCCGCCTTGCCGCCCCGCGCGCTCAGGAAGGGAGGGAGCTAGCGAGCGCGGCGGCGTGGCCGGGGGAGGGGGCGCGGGGAAGGCACTTCCTGAGCAGCCTGCCAGGGTTATAAAAAAAAAACCCCAAACCAAGCGCGGCCAGAAACCCCGCCCGCCGCCGCCGCCCGGCCTGGGCCGCGGGCTGGACCCAAGCCAGGGACCCGAGAGCTCGACCGCTCCATCTGGGACCCGCTCCCCGCTAGCGGGGAGGGGGGCAGAAGTGTCACGGGGGCGGGGACGGAAGGGAGGGGAAGATCGAGTGGGGGATCATGGTGGGGGAGGGGAGAAAGGATGGGGGATAGGGAGGGAGAAGTGAGGGCTTTTAGGGAAAAGGAGGAAGAATAGGATGGGGGAGGAGGAAGTTTAAATGGAAAAGGGGTGGGAAGAGGTGGGGGCGTGGAGGAAGGGGCAAAGTTCGGCAGGGGTGCAGGGGACGGAGCAATGAAACGGGGAAAGAACGGGATAGGAGGGGGATGGCGGGGTGGGGGAAGGGAGAGCCCATTTCCTCGGCAGCATCAGCAGCATCAACAACAGCTGTTATTTATTGAGGGCTGATCCTCACTCAAACTGGCATTTATTCAGCACCTCCCGTGTGCCAGGCACAGAGCCCAGGGCTGGGCGAATAAGTCCCAACTGGCCCTGCCCTCCCAAAACTCCCCTCTTGGGGGGTTTGATCTGCTCTGGGTCTGTTCTTGTTCTGTCTGGATACTTTAACTCCTTAGTTGTGATGTAGGGGTCCCACTTCACAGGTGAGGAAACTGAGGCTGGGAGCAGGAGCCCTCCTCTGGGTTTTGGTCACCCCTGGGTCCATGCTCAATAAATGCAGAGCTAATGGATGAATGCCAGTGGGATTCCAACCCCAGGTAGGGGAGTTTGGTGCCTGGTTGGATCCAGGAGGAGGCAGGGCAGACTGGTGATCCCCAGAGCTCACAATTCCAGGCATTTTCCAAGCATGGCCCACAGGGAGCCTGGGTTTACTCATCTTCCCAGTGTAGGTAGTAACAACTTTTACAGGGCTGGGGTGGGGGTGCAGGGGGATATAATTGAGACCAGGTAGAGAAGCCTGCCAACCTTGAACTTCCTTTGAACTTGGAACAAGTCAGGGCTTATGCATACAGCAGACCAGAGGGTCAGCCCACCCTCATGTTAGTGTCCCACCTTTTCCTAGGGCCTCTCTTGAGTCCCCATTTAAGCCCCAAGTCCAAGTCAGCTCTGCCTGACCTCTAATAGCTGTTCATTACCTTTGTGCCTTCTGGGAGCTGGTCCTGGGTTGCCTCCCAGCATCCTCTTCATCCATTAAAGAGGTGGCTTCCTTTGCATTCTTGGTTTTCCCTAAATGCTCAAAGCTTCCACTGTTAGCCCAACGACTGGTCCAGCCACCTGCCCCTAGTCTGGGGATGGGTGGCCTCCAGACTGCACTGAGATTTTCAGGGTTGCTTTGAGCCAAGCACTCCCAGGCTCTGCCACTTACTAGCTGTGAAACCTCTTCTTATAATTATTTTGTGAAACTTTGGCTGT